CCCCCCCCGCCTTGCGCAGAAGCTCTATAAGACCTGTCGGATGATGCAGGAGAGGATCATGGAATTGCTGGTGACAGTGGAGAATGAAGATGTGATAGTTGAGTTAATACAAGTAAATGAAGATCTGAATAATGTCCTCCTGGGACATGAGAGGTAAGTAGAGTGCCTCTCCTCACATTTGGTATCCTGAGTCAGTGCACTTAATGGACACAGATGTGTCAATCGACATCTAATGTTGATCCTCCACAAGGAGACAGATTTTTATCATTAAATCCAGAAAAGAAACATGATTACAAAAAGAGAAAATTAGGTGTTTGCCTCTCATAAACACTTCAGAAACAGTTCATAAAGGCAGTTAGAAAACCATTAGAATGGGATAAACCAAGGTAACAGTATGGACAGGAAAGCAGACAGAGGCACACAAACAAAAATCGCTCTGGAATTTGACATTCCTTTTTGGTGGTGCACAGTGAATTTGTCATCAATCTGCTACAAACACTTTGGTACTGGTGATGGTCCTTATCTCTGTTAAGTGTATATGCTTCCAGGAAGAAGAATATTTGTTCTTATTTCTAAACAACTTTGACAGCTTTACTGCAGAAATCAGCCATGGAATAGCATTCTGCCTCATTGCATGCTTGAGAGTGCTGCTTGCGTTTCTCAACTGGATTGAAACACACTGTTCTACTTGTCTTACAGCAGAAAATGTTTCTTTCTTTCACGCATGAAAGCACCACAGTGCTTGCGTTGACATCCTGTGTATTAGCGTGACTAGACGCTAGCAAAACTGAAATTAATTTTAAACTCAAAATTCTGGTATTATCGCCCAGAATATCACGTGAGTGTACTCATGGAGAGTATTCTGGTTTAATAGGAACTAGCCTTCCATGTCAAGTATTTGATCTCTTCCGTGGCTCAGAAATATTCTAGAAATCATTATGCATCAAGTGCAATGGTTCATGATTAAATTTAACAGATTTAGAGAATTTTAGTCATCTTTTCTTTTTAATCTTCATCTGAATGCTGCACTGAAAATATCCCTGATTCTTCTAAGTGTCATAGCACAAACTTTGGTCCTAACCCTGACAATACTTGGTTTTCATTTAGCCTACAATTTCATGTCTACAGCAGCGTTGGTATATTTTACAGTAACTGCCTTGAAAGAATTGTGTGCTCACTTTGTGCTTTAGGAAGTTTTTCATTTTACTACAGTAAGAATAGAATTCTGTTCAGCTTCTATAAATCCACTGAAGTCAGATGTGGGCTTATGTTTTGTTACAACTGATGAATATTGGCAAGGTCAAGAACCTCTTAAACTATGAATAGCAGCTTGTGGGTAAAAGTCAATAAATTCTCTATGAAAGACTCACCTCATGATTGAAGGAGCAATTAATTGGCCATTGTGAAACTGGACAGAAGACTACTGCGTTTTAGTACTATAATATTATCCTTTATATGTAATAAGTCTCCCTGGGTGCAGATGAATTTCACTTTAGAATTGATAAGTGTTAAAATGTCTTTGGTTAATGTTTGCTGCAGATTTGTTCTTTGGAACTCCCTCTGAACAATGAGATGTATAAAGGACAAACTGATTTTAACTAGCTGCATCTGTTTCGTACTCTGTGTATTGTTCGAAGACAAGTCATGCTGCATTCTCTGTTTCTGATTATTAATGTAGAGTCCAAATTAAATCCAGAGCAATCACCATTGTGCAGTAAACTGGCCTCGTGTGTGTAACAATGACTCCCTCTAGTGGCTTTAGCAACTTTTCCGTTCTTGTGTTTCAGATAAGTATTTTACATTCTGCAGTTGGAAAGGTTTTTCTTCTTCTGTTTCTCCCTGCTTATATATACTGTCTTTGTGGGCCTTGCCAGTATGGTAACCCCGAATAGCAAATGCGGTGTTATAGGCAGTGTCATGTCTGTACCACTTAGGGCTCTTCTGAAATGGCATGACCTTACGGATGCTGGGTATCACTTGGCTGGGTCTCCTGGAGACTCCTAGTACATAAATATTTATGGAGGTGGATTTTTTTTTTCCTTTTTTTAAAAAAATTATTTCAAATGCCTGAACTAATGAGAGGGCTGTGTGCCAGAACAGGCATGTGGTTTGTTCTGAGATGGTGTGAGAGGAGGTGGGGACCTCTGAGGGCAGGCGGCTTCCTGGGACTCAAGAGTCTTCTGATAGAAGGAGCCAGATTGGATACAGTGTGTGCTCATAGTGACCTGTCTGGCATGAGAAAACTATTGTCAGCTGTGCTTGGTTTTGTTTTGGAAGAAATGGATGGTTGGCTCCAAAAGTGAGGCCAAGAACAAACCAACTGGTGTTAGTACAGGGGATCAGAGGACTGCAGCCCTGAAGAAGAGCGAGTCAAATTGCTAGTGCAGAGACAGCTGCCCCAGAGAAAAGCATCTTAGCTCTTGTTGGGTGCCTCTGGAGTCTTGATTATCAAACTTTGATTATAACTGGTTTCATATTCTTATGAATGACATCGCAGAAACGTCAGAATGAACATTTAACTCTGCAACTTGAACAGGTTCTCTCGAAACAGAGTTCGTTTCTTGGAGAATCAGAGAATACAACGTGAACGCACAGAGGTGAGTAATTACAGATGGACTTGTGAACTGAGGGCTGTAAACAGGCCTTTTTCTGTTCACTATGAAAAATACCCTTATGATTTACACAGAATTTTATTTTCTATTTGAGAGAGGTGCAGGAGACAGCAGGCTGGTACGACTCTTACCAATTTTTCTAAAGTCTCACTTGCAGGAGTTCATGCAAATTCATGCATGTAAAGCAGCAAATAATGTCATCTAAGATGGAAGCTTGGTCAGGAAAAGTGAGCCTGTTCAAATGCTGGTTTATTATTGCTACAGCTAAGCAGTATTGTCTGCCATCTACAAAATGAGGAACCATAATGTTTCTTTTCATTTTTTTCTGTTAAGCATTTACAGACTGGAATACTATTACACTATCAGAATTCACTATTATGGATGGTTTTTTTCTGATTCAAAGCTTTTTCTGAATTGTGAATAATGGCTTGTAGCAAATCTTTAATGACTATCCTTTATTGATTGATAATTATGGTTAATTATGTTGCCCAAAGTAGTTTTGCATATGTTTCAGCTTCTGCTAAGCCATAATTGCGTAGTCATCTAGGACTCAATCTGAAAATGACTGCATTGTGAATGCTGAAATACAGCTGACAATTATTTTAAAAAGGTAGAAGATCATCTTGTTTTCCTTGAAAAACCACTATTACTACATTCTGGTTATGTAGGTGGATGTTTTTACTTGGTGGATGCACTGTTGAATAAGTTAATACTCCAAATGGTGCAGTCTGTGCATTTTTATTTTATTCAGGAGTCTCCAAGTTTAAAATGCTTTTTTTCCTCCCCCCCCACCCCTCCCTTTAATCTGGCGTGACCAAATCTGTATGATTCAAGCAGATGGTTTTATTAAAGTCATTGGCTGGCTACATTCTTAATTCTAACACATTCCCAGGAGAAATAAAGGAAACCCTTCTCTGTGGCTTAGGAAACATTGTTGTGATTTTGAACTTTTCCTACCCAAAACAGGACTGGAGGGGGGGGAAATCAATCTCGTAAGTATGTATCAAATCTCAGTAACACAAGTAAGTAGTATGAAAGTAATTTTACAAGGACCAGTCAGATGGTTGATATCAAGCTTGTATCTAAACAGGCTCATGATTACTTTTTAGTACTGTATCTGTTCTGTTTCCTACTTCAGAATTTTTCTTAATTTTTTGAGATAGCAACCTTGCTGAAACTGATCTTTACTGGAAATCATTTTTTGTTTCATTATTATCTTTCACACACCAAAATAAAGAAAAATCCTGGTCTTTTCTCATACTTACCAGTCTTTAATATTATGATTTTTAAAGTTTATATTCTGTGAAAATAGCATTTTGTTTAAAAATATACAAGTTCTTTTTTTAACACCCAACAACAAAGCATCGAAAAAACCCTCAAACAACTTTATTCCTTTCCAAATGTTAAGCTGTACAGGAAACAGCCATCTGCTCCCTCAAGTGATCTACTTGACCTCTCCGTAGATTCTCCATCTCCTGTGCCAGCAGTGGTGCAGACTGACTCTGCAGTGTCTCCTTCAGGCCTTAGTAAGTGATGAATACACGTTTCCCTTGCAGTCTGTTTTCCTAAAGCAAACCAACAAGAGCTTAATGGATAAATCAAGAAGTTCTTTGTAAGAGAGAAAAGAAAGATACTCCTTAACTTTAAGGATGTTCCTTAAATCTCCTTAAAAGGAGAATTGGTGTGTGTAGACAGGAAAAAAATGTAAGGTAGTATAAGGTTCCCTGTCATTTGTTTACCTTTTTCCCCATTATGTAAATTTGAACAGTAGAGCATGCTGTTTTCTATTACAATGAAGCCTGTAAAAGTCTGGTAGTTGCTTGTTCTGTAGACTTGGAAGACATGCTTTTCTCAGACCCTCTTGATGTCCTAAGTTTTTTCAGGAGGCATTTGGTGTTAGAAACAGTTCACTTTGAGAAAAGTACACATCTCCTCTAACTTCAGACGTCTTTCTTAGAGGAGTGAGTAAAGCTCCTAACTTTGGTACCCTGAATTACTGTTTGCAGAAGCTCCTCCTTCATCCACCCTAGGGGAGTCCATGTACTGAAGTTTTAGGTGTGAATGGTCCCCCAGGAATAAATGCTTATAATTCCATTTTAATCTTTTAGAAATAGCGAAAGGAGTTTTAAATGGTATCTGCCACGTATAGCACTACTGATGTTGTTCTGACATTTTAAGGAGATAAATATATTGCATCTATAACCTTTTCAAGAGTTATTAAAATTTTCTTTCATGTGATAAACAGCAATTCATTTCAGATTCTTTATACGCCTTCCAAACAAAACTTTACCTTCAGTGTTCATAGTGCAAGTAACTAACATTTGCTTAATAATGTTTAGATGATCATTAATTATTGCTTTGAATTTCAGATTGCATATCTGCACACCCTGAAGATAAAACCAGGCATCATTCATCAATTTATCCACAGCTAGATTTAACAACTACTACAAAAGCTCAGCAATTCCCGTGAGTAATCTCTTATCAAGAAATGGTAATAGATAACAGCTCTTCAGAGGTATTAGTATTCCGCAATTCATCTAATGAGTTTATAGAAAGCTCTGAGAACACAGATTTACTGCTTTTACACGTTAGTCCAGTAAAACAAGTGAAAACTACCTGTGTGCTAGACATTGCTTAACATGTTTAAAAATACAGTACTCCTGCAGCTCTCCTTAGTCATAGACATGAATTTATCTCTACAGTCAAAACATACTTGAGATAGGACTTTCCACTTGAGTGTTGCCAGAGCTGCAGTGAAAGGGAGAAACACATGAATTGTACAGGTCCATAAGAAGAATTTAGAACAGGAGAGCTTGTAGTTCCCTACCTTTTATGTGAATGGGACACTGGCCCAACCTGCCCATGCTGCTCTCAGTTGTGACATAAGGTAAAGACAGACCAGCAAAAATAATGTAACTATCAGAACATACAGTTTTGATGATTTCTCAGTTACTTTCAATGTATTACTCTCTCCTAGATTTGCAACTGAAGCACAAAACAATAGTGTAAGCAACCCAGCTGGACACTCATACAGCAATGTGAGTAACACTCATGTCCAGGATAATCATTCTTTGCTGGCAACTGTCAAAATGAGAATGGTTTGGATTTACCCCAACTGCTGTCCAAATGGGATACAAAGATGTGTTCTGTGGCCCTTCCCCATGCATCAGGGAACACTCTGTATTTGGGGACCAGGCCAACTTTCCTCTTTGATACTACAGATGCTAATAGGAAAGCATATTTTTCTTGGGTCCAGCACTGTCTTGGGGAATTTTGCAGAAAACAGTTGCTCTATTATTTGTTTAATCTGTTGCTGTGTGAAACAAGCTGAGATCTCCTGCTGACATTATGTTACTCTGGTGTATTTCTTATGTCAAATAAAATATTAAAAAAATCCCCAACCAACCAAACAAACAAACCAACAACAAAACAAGCAAAAAACCCAAATGCTTAAAGGAAATAGAGTCTAGGACAAATGGCATATGCTGCAAACAAAACACCCATGACAGAAGGAATACAAAGAAAACGAAGGGGCTTTGAGGTAATGCTGTGCATTTGAATGCTATTCTGTGGTAGGCAGTATGGAACAGAGAAGATGAGAGACAGCCCCCAAACACACATGTATATTCCCTATTTTAAACTGCAAATAAAAGCAGATACCTGTATTGTGAATGCTGCTGTCTGTGCGTCCGTGCAGTGTAACAAATTACACAGGAGTAAGTTATACAGATGTGCTGTAGATAATGCTAAAAGGTGTTTGGAACTTTTGTGTGGCGAATGGAGATTAATTAGATTGATAACTGTTGACCCTAGAATTTACCTGCTACAGTCTGAGAGTCTAAAGATAAATGAGCAGTTATATGAGTTAATTCAAACCAGTTTTCAGAGAACAATTTGTTTATGCACTGTCTTGCTTGATGTCCTTAGTTGGCGACTCTTTTAAGCCCAGTGCCTCTGAATCCAGTAAATGTACAGACTGGACATACTACATCATTAAATGGACCATCACCAGCAGGTAATAAATACTGCAAACCACTTTCATGGAGATATATTTTTCTTGTTAGAATTTAAAGGTTTTAATAAATGTTAAAGTTGAGGAGCAGCAACAAACATGACAAGATTTCATATTGCTCGTGGCTTCTCTTAGACACGTCTGTCCATTTTAGCATTTACAGCAACTAGATAAATCGGAGGTAATCTGCTACTTTCAGGAAGATACAAAAAAGTACCCTGCAGTAAGCATGCTTTTCACTTACATTGAGATCTGAATTTATCTGCCTGTCTTTATTCTTCAGCTGCATCAAAGAACAAGTCACAATCGTCTCATTACTACGAGATAATGGAATTTGATCCCTTGGCTCCCACTGAGTAAGTAACTTTTAGAATAGATAATACACAGTTTTCTTGGGTGCCAAAGGGCAATAAGCCTTCTGAGATGGCTTTTTCTTCTGAGTGAGAAAACAGACCATGCTGTTTGGACTGAATTAGCTGACCAATTGGATTGCTAATGTAAATAAGAATGGCTGCATTTTGTACATTTTTCTCTCAGTATTTCTGGCATAACCAGCGAAGGAATAAACTCTTGTAGTGTGTTCACTGAAGAGCATCTGTAAAAAATGGTGGAATAATGCTGTCCAGTGATAGGAAAAAGTTAATAAAACATGGCAAGGGTGCTGGTGGAGGAAGCTGATTGACTCTTCAGCACAGGTAGTTCCTGGCACAAGGTAACCAGAGTATTTCCTGTTCACACAATTGTGATGAAGAATGTTATTCTATTGCATATCAAGAAAATCTTCAATTTAAATATTAAGCTACGAAAGGGAATGGATGCTAGCACTCATCAGAGGGCCAAACAGTCAGACAGAAAACTAGTATGAAACTAAAAGGATGGCAGAACTCTCCTTTCTACTAGTAAATTGCAAAAAATTTGAGCCATCTACCCAAAACTTATTTTCTAAGCACCATTGAATTCTGAGATAATAAATAAAGCTTTGTTGAGATTTTTAACTAGTGCAGTAATTGCATGCCATGTGATACGCTTGTCATTTGTGTTCTGTAGTCCTGTTCCCAAGCTTCTTTCATCAAAAGTGACAATGTCCAGAGGCATCTCATTAAACCTATCATCACAGACGCTCCGCAGGATTGGCTCTTTGCTTCCATGGAAAGCTGGGCATCCTGCAAGTGATGCTACTCTGTTAGGCAAACCCTGTAAACTCTTGGCAATTTTGTGCTTGGGCAGGATTTCATTGGGGAATTCTGTCAAAATGAAATAACTGTGATGGAGGAGTCACCCTGTTCCTCTTATTTCAGAGCCATTTATGAAGAAATTGATGTTGTGCTGAAGACAGAAGTTAAAAAGAATACAGAGTGCTGAAGGTGGAGTCTTTTACTGAACCTGTGTTACTCTCTGCTGGTCCTGTGCAGTGCTTCCTGTAACGTAGAAGTGAATAACAGAATAGGTTTTGTGTTTCGATACAAGAAACAATAAGTATTGGAACACTGAGTGGAAGACAAAGAGTTACCTGGATCTACACCTTTATAATTTGTTCTAATTGGTCAATACTCTGTTCTTCAAGGTGACTTCCATAATTATTCTTAAAGTATTTTGGGGGCCTTTAAAATATGTTTTCCAAATTCACCTGTGTATGAAGTAACACTTGATATGTGACACAAGGAAACAAAATTAGACTGTTGCAGCTGTAGAAGAAAGTTTTTCTTCAAAGTTAACTGTTCCTTTGCATCATTTTACTCCTTTATGCAACAAACAGAATGTTTACAGAAATGGCAGAATCCAGTTTCTATTTTGGCCTTGTTGCTGCCCGTGTTAATCTCCCTAAAAAATTATAATGGGGTTTTGATATGTAGGTATTTTCTAAAATTGGATGTCTGAAGACATGCAGTGTTACTTTCCTACATTCATATTCTGAATACGGATTTTGTTTTCTTCCTAAAAGCCTGCAGTAGAGTTGGATTTTTGTCTTGGTAAGAACCTGAGCTGGTACATGAGGTGCTGTCATCCATGATGAACAGAACAGAAAAAAACCTGCTTGTTCCTGTGGTGGTGTTGCTTGTATTTACTCAGTAAATATTGGAGGGCGATCAATAATTTCTTTCAGTGTTCCTGCCCTGCAGAGATTATTGTTCTGGTGAAGGAAAAAATAATCATCTACAATGCAGATGAGCAATAGTTATCCATTTATTTTAATCAAGTTGTTTAACCCTGTTAGTAAGTTTTATCTTTTAATTATTAAAGTGCCTTATCTATTCTAACGCTGAATGTCAGTCGTGCACTTTAACAGGTATGGTTCTCTGAATTTATAATTGATATAAAAGTTGAGAACTTGGTTCATGTTCATAGCTGATAAGCTTATTTTTTTGTGAAATATTGCATTTTAAATGTTAATTACATTAACTGTTTCAAGTGCTAAGAAGTTCTCAGTCGGTTTTGCAATTTTTGTAGCATAACATTCCAAATAAAAGCAAATGCTTACTGAGAAAGTTAACCCTCATCACTTCTGAGTTTTTACCATATGACGTGTATTCTGTGAACTACCAAACGTAGGTAGTGTCGGAAGCAGTTCAGTGTGAATCCATGGTGTTTCACTGCCGTTAGCAATTTTGCAGTTTGCTTTGGGACCACGAGAGCACCTTACTTCTATCAAAAACACAACCTTGTAGAAGTTTAGGGGGGTTTGTAACCAGAGGTGAAAAGGTAAGCTGCTTTATTTTTTCTTGTATTATTTGCAGTGGTCTGGAGAACAGTCTGAGAAAACTGCTGAAAACAGCATTGGAGGTGTATCAGTTTTTCCCTGTAACTTAGCTGTATTGGTAAAACCCTCACATGCATAACACATTAAAATGGGCTATTTCAGTACAGAAATCCATACTGCATGATTATTAACTGAACTTTCCTCTATTAATGGTCACAGATAGATGAAAGGGAACTGGCTAATTACTGAGGCTAGAGAGTGTTTTATAGTTGGAATGGGCTCAGCATCTTGTGCAAACTTGGGCTTTCAAACAGGGAGGGAGAGAACCCACATTTTTCTGCAACTGGCACTTGCTGGGGGATTCTCCTTTTATTCTGAAGCATGTGGGGAGGATAAAGCAATGTGTGGAGAAGTCCCATAGTCAGTTCAACTCTCAAAAAGACAATGGACTAAAGCCAACCCAGGCAAGAATTTATTTTTTTTTTTCTCCTAGCCTAGATTCAAAGATTTGTCTTGATACTTTTTTTTTTTTTTTTCCTGAAGCATAACTGAAATTATAAAGCTTGCTGCTATCCTATCCTCATACAGATGTATTTCACTTGTGTGGGCTCCACATGTGCTGCTGGATAAGAGGCATTAGAGAGATAATAAGGCTTTAAAACTTTAATAAATACACAGTGAAGACCAGACACAAATGTCATCCAGAATCTATTTAAATAACATATAATTGGTGCAGTAATGCATTTTAAAGGGAGCATCCATTTATTTTCAAAAACACTTTTAAAATGACTGTATGTAAACATAATTGAGACTAAAGTCAACAGTCATTTCTGATATGCCTCTTACTTTTTTTAGAGTCCAAACAAATGAACTTTAGTCTTTGTTAGATCTCATCTGCTGAAGGGGGTAGAACTGGCCTAGCAGATGAGATACTGGGCTGAGATTAATTCCTGTCTGAAAATGAGTAGGTTGCTTAAACTTGCTCTGCAACTCACTCCTTATTTGCAAACCTATAAAGTGTTATTATCCCTACCCCACAGATAATGACCAGAAGTTACATAAATACAGGCTTATGTGTCCTGATGGCAGAGTACCTAGGAGTACCTCTGAGCGACTGATATGCTGCTGGGCAGGCTTTGTTGGACTTAACCTTTGAATTAAGTTGATTTCCTTTTGGTTCTTGAGGAGGCTCCTATGCCATTAATTCAGCCTGCAATTAGGAGCAGCTGTTTCTGTACTGCCTTCCCCTTCAAAGCATTTCATACATAAGCTGAGCTTGTCTCTGTTGCAGCCCTCTGCAAAGTGAAAGAGCAGTCATTAGTGGCACATGTGTTCTAAATGAGTGGAACACAACATGGAAATTTGAAGATGGTATTTCTAAATGGAAACCACACCACAGATTTGATGTGCTTACATTTAAATTACTGTTCCTCATTCACATGGTAACAGTTGTGGAGCAGTCTGCTCTTACCAAATGAACTACTGATACAGTAATAATTTAAGGTGCATCATCTTCTGAATCATCAGATCCTCCTGTGCTATGGGAAGGTTACACAGCAGTACAGTCCAATGTTGTTTAGTTTTGAGACTTCATTAACAGATTACCTGGCTCTACCTTTTTATAAAAGTAATTTACATGGGAGTTATGTTTCAGAGCCAGCAATGCTATTTTAGGTGCTTAATAAACTGATTTGTTCCTCTGTTTAAATGAAGATCACAGTTTCCACGTAGGTTTAAAAATTTGCCTCACGGTATTCAGATGACGTGTATCTTACAAAAAGATGGCTTGAGAAAACCCTCTCCCAGGAACAGTATGTTCCCTTCTGTTGTCTGATAAAGAAATACTATCCCTAAAAAAATAATATTCCAACTACATAAGTTTTTATTAAAAAATAGAAATACATCCTTTCGTAATAGCAACATGTGCCCAGGGTGGTTTAATAATATAATTCCATATTGCACTGTACTCCTGCAGTTTTCATTTTATAGAATAATGGTTTCAAAACTGGTAGCCAGCTAGCAGAAGTCAAACTGTGTAGATTTCCCATTACTGATACCCAGGAAGTGCTAACTTCTGTCCTTCCTTTGCTTCAAAAAAGGTGTAAGAGAGGGTGATCAAATCAACTTTTGCCATTTTAGGGTCCTCTACAAATTCTGGATCAATGTAGAAAAACACAGGCATGTCCACTTCCTCTTGAGGATTTAGCCGCTGTTCTTCAAAACAAAAGCACTGCAGGGAGGGGAGGAAAAAAAACCCAAAACAATTAAACACTAATTATGGTAAACTTTGTCAACATGAGTGAAAGCTTCATCTTTCAAAATCAACTCTCATTCCTTGTACATCCCTAAAATCCTGGGAATGATCAACTATACAAGCAACCAGACAGCAATTTTGTTCCTCCTGTGTTACAGGAAAAAAATTAGCTTTTAAGGAAGTGTCCAAACGTGCAAATTGGCCAGGCTAGCTCACATCAATACCACCTGCCCTCAGTGTCAGTTGTACTAAATACTGTATATTTGGGAGCCAGTCTAATTGGACGTATACTACAGTTTGTTATGAAGAATGAACTGGTGCACTGTCATCTGAAGAAATTAATGTATTTTTTTTACAATGCTGGCATACAAAGAATGGTATCCAGGATTAAAATGAGAAAAAAGGATAACAATTCTCATTCATATAAAGCAGAATGTAATCTTTGCTTTATTCACACTTACTTGTATTTTATTGAAATACTGTCCTGCTTCAAAGGGTATTACATTGTAGGTAGAGATTCCAATTATTGGTTTGTCAGTAGGATTTTTCGCTTTATAAAAAGCCAGTGCAGTCTCTCCTGGTACCACCTATATAAAGAAATTGCACAGTGATTTTTAATCCACTGCAGCCCCCCACCTCTCAAACATTCTCCAGGCTTTAGCTTGAACTAGTTCATTTTCTCTTTTGCTATTTCAAGTTGGTTACTTCACAAAAACTTTGGTTAAAGACAATTCACCCCCATTCAAAATTAAAAGTAATGTGTTATATGTGCATTTTTAATCTTAACCAGTTTGCCACCGAGACTTCTATTATTCTCAGCAGTTTAGCAGCATACAGAGCTTTTTTAATACGCAGGTTTGAGTTTAACATTCCTCTGCTACTGGACTTAGAAACCATTTAAGAAGCAAGACTACTTCTGTTAAGTTTTTAAGAACTAATTCTAAACAGTAGATTAAAATGTTCATTTTTTAGAAAATACAGAAACAGTTCTACAATGGTAGAGGCAAGAAAAGAAAGTACTAGGTGGGAACTCTGGCAAAACCCCACCAGTATCTATAACTGACTTTTGACAGCATGATGGGATGGCAGGGGAGCAACACAGAACGGGCAGGAAAGGTTCTGCCCTCTGGTAGGAGACATGAGCCCTGCCACCCAACCAGCACCAGAATCCTGCAGTGGAAGCGGCTGGCCTGAGGTGCCCCCAGTTGTGTGGTTTCCCAGATCAGGGGCCAAATACACCAATGGATGGAAGGAGGCGAAAACGTGAGAGGCGAAACCTGACGCTCTCGCCTCGGGGAGCGAGCGGTTCCGAGGGAGGATGGAGGCGAAGTCACTCACGTAGATCTCGCTCTGCTGGGGCTGGAAGTTCCACTGGATGCTGGAGTGCACGTCCGCGTTGAAGGTGACCCTGATGACGCGGCCTCTCACCGGCTCCATGCTCTCGATCTGCTCCGAGCCGTGCCCCACGCCCGTCGTCCCGCCCAGGCCCGTGGCCTGACAGAAAGACAAAGCGGTGAGGGACCCGCGCCCGCCGCCCTCCGCGGGCGGGAAGCAGCCGGCAGCCGCGCCGGGCCGCGGGGCTCCCCGGTACCTGGCAGTAGAGG